CCAATTATCTTCAGTTGTGAGTGCCGCAGTGGTGAATACCGCCTCTGGTGGAGCTGCTTATTAGGGGGGGCACGAAGCGTGCGACGCGCACGCCGCATTGGAACGTGTGAGTGGTGTGCCGAATCGGGCGCGGGTAGGCCATGTGGACCCTGCCGCTGGGGCCTTCGGTGGAGCTCCCTATGGGGCCATGAAGCGTGTGAGGGGTGTGCCGAATCGGGCGCGGGTACGCCATGTTGACCCTGCCGCTGAGGCCTTCGGTGGAACTCCCTATGGGGCCACGAAACGTGTGAAGGGTGCGCCGAATCGGGCGCGGGTACGCCATGTGGACCCTGCCGCTGGGGCCCTCCGTGGCCGTCCCTATGGGGCCATCAAGCGTGTGAGGGGTGTGCCGCATCGGGTGCGGGTACGCCATGTGGACCCTGTCGTTGGTGGACCCTGGCATTGGGGCCTTCGCGGTGGAGCTCCCTATGTGGCCACGAGACGCGTGAGGGGTGCGTTGAACCCCTGCAAGGACGGGAGGAGGGAGACGAGGAGGAGAGGAGGAGGAGAACGCGGGGCGCCGTCTCTTCAAAACGAGGACCCAACACCACAGGATGGTTGGGTTTGAAAGAGCGTGTTCTACCGCTGCTGGCGGAAAACCGGGGGGGGTCACTACCGGTTCGAACCCCTCCCCCCCCCCTCTGGAAAACCGGGGGGGGTCACTACCGGTTCGAACCCCTCCCCCCCCCCCAGTTCATCATGAAAAGGGGGGGGGTCACTACCGGTTCGAACCCCCCCCCCCTCGAACTCGAAAACCGGGGGGGGTCACTACCGGTTCGAACCCCCCCCCCCCCTCGAAAACCGAGGGGGGTGCGGACAGTGGTGGGGACGGTGGTGGTGGGGACAGTGGTGAGGGGACAGCGGGACAGTGGTGGGGACAGTGGGACAGTGGTGGGGACGGTAGTGGTGGGGACAATGGTGAGGACAATGGTGGGAACAGTGGGGACAGTGGGACAGTGGTGGGGACGGTGGTGGTGGGGACAGTGGTGTGGGGACAGTGGGAATGTGGTGGAAACAGTGGGACAGTGGAGGGTACAGTGGTGGTGGGGACAGTGGTGAAGGCGGTGGCGAGGACGGCGGTGGGAAAATGGGACAGAGGTACAGTGGGGACAGTGGTGGGGACAGTGGGGACAGTGGTGGGAACAGTGGGACAGCTCAGTGGGACAGCGGAGGAGTCAGTGGGACAGTGGGGACAGTGGGGATAGTCGTGGAGAAAGTTGGGAGAGTGGAACCGTGGTGGGAACAGTGGTGGGGACAGTGGGGGACAGTGCGACAGTGGTGGTGGCACTGGTGGGGACAGTAGGGGCGGTGGTGGAACCAGTGGGGACAGTGGTGGTGAGGACAGTGGCGCTGGGAACAACAGTGGGGGATGTGGTGAGGACGGTGGTAGGGACCGGGAGTCGTTTGCTGGAGGTGAGAGGGGAGGTGGGGAGGGGTTCGAACCGGTACCCCCCCCCTCCGGTTTTCGAGGGGGGGGGGGGGGGGGGTTCGAACCGGTAGTGACCTCCCCGGTTTTCGAGTTCGAGGGGGGGGGGGGGGGGGGTTAGGGGAGGGGGGGGGGTTTTGCCGGGGGGGGGGGGGGGGGGAGGGTTCCAGCAGGGGGGGGGGATTTTCGGGAGGGGGGGGGGGACCCTCGGGCTCCGGAGGAAAAGGGCGGCAATTTTCCATAGTAAAGCGGCGGTGGATCACGCTCTCTCGGAAAAAAGGAACCGCCCGCAATCTGTGAAGCGGTTGCAAATGTGTAAACCGAATGTGCGCAACACTAAGGCGACAACCACGTTTTGAAAACGGGCCGTCATCATTCCGTGAAGCTCTTCCAAATACATATGAACTCAACGTGCGCGGCGCTAGAACGAGAGCCACGTTTTGAACAGGAGCCGCCCTCAGGAAGCTCTTGAGGCATTGTAGAACACATGTGCCCGGCGCTAATCGGCTACGCGCAAGAGTGACCCTGGGTAAGAGTGACCTTTGGTGCGCTGCTTTTTGGGGGCCGCGGGGAGACCAAACCTGGGCGCGCAAGCCGCTGCTACCACTTCGTTTTCAGCCATCTGGGGACCCATCTGTGCCCGCACCAAAGGTAACTCCGGCGAAAGGTCACTCTTACGTCTATTCGAGCTAAGGCGAGAGCCAGATGTTGGAAGCGACCCGCCCTCCATCTGTCAAGCCACTGTCAATCTTTAAACTTCTGGGCCATCGATGGCGATGGCAAAGACATCTCAAGCGAGACGCCCGGTCCGCCCTTCAGACCGGCCTCCAGGAGCGACAGGGAGGAGTCAACCACAAGGCAAAAGAGTGGAGGAGGAGGCGGAGGAGGAGGACAAGGAAGAGAAATGATGAGGTGGAGGAGGGGGAGGAGGGTGAACAGGCGGTGGGAGACACAGGAGGAGGGGGAGGAGGGGGTAGGAGGGGGAGGAGGAGGGAGGGGAAAGAGGGAGACGAGGAACAAACGTGGCCTTCGGACAATTCGCCAGCAGCTAAGCCAAGCTCGCCGATGTGGCACGTTGTGCACACAGAGAAGTGTAACCATTAGCTGCAGCAGCAGCAAATGAAGATGCGGGAACCGACCACTGGATAGGCTCAACAGTTAGCGTCGGGAAGGCGGGGGTCGGTGGGGGGGAGGCAGATCAGACAGCGAGGACGGTCGCGAAGCAGTAGAAGGCGAGGGGCGCCAAGGGGGTGGGCGCGCGAATGGGAAACGGAGAAGGCCTAACTATCGCGGCGCGGGGGCTGCTCAACTCAGAGCGGCCGTCCACGTCAGCACGGGACTCCCGCTTCGAGATCTTCTGAACTTGTTGCGGGCCTTGCTATCTAGTAACTCAGACAAGCTTCGCATGTCCTTCGCGTTCGAGCCGAAGCAGTGTGGGAAGATCGTCTCATCACGACTATGGGGCTGATCTTCGTCGTGGCGGGGTCGGTCGCCACCGTCAGCCGCAGCAGCAGGAAGTACATTGCCACCACCATCAGCAGCAGCAGCAGCAGCAGCAGCAGCAGCAGCATACAAAGGACGATTTTCGGCACCATCGGCAGGGTCATGCCGAGCATGCTCGTGCAGGGGCCGTTCGCCAGCACCATTGGCGTCACCAGGAGCCTCCACCTCGTCGCTGGTCTCGCTGGCAGCATGGTCAAGCACGGCGTCGTACCACGCATCGAAGCAGCGCTCGGCGGGCTTGTTCAAGAGGAGCTTCCGACGGCGCAACAGGCCGCACACGAAGTCGGACCACTCATCGAAGCAACGTCCGAGAAGCCCGTTCATGAGGACTTTCCGACGTCGGGCTCCGACGTCGGGCCCAACGCCACCACTCACAGAACTGATGGCGAAGAGAACGCCCGTCGCGAGCAGCAGTCTGAACGCGAGCATAGTCGCGCAGATGGGCAGTCCGACGTCGTCGAAGCACGACGGCCCGATGCTTGCCAGCCGTACTCCGCGCGGCAACGAGGTGAACCCAAGCCGTAAGATGTGGTTGAGCATGAGGGGCACCGACAGCGTGGGGTACGTATTCTTCTGGAACGCCACCAGCGAGAAACTCACCAGCGACGACGTCACTAGCCAGAAGGCCAGCAGCGGAAGGATCATTACCGTCAGGAGCGCCACCAGCGAAACTATCACTGAGAACGGCGCCACCAACAGGTCCGCCAGCAGCGTGAGTGAGGTGGACATCGAGAGCGCCACCAGTGAGTCTACCATCGGCGTCGGCGCCACCAGGGGGAGTGCATGCAGCGCGGAGGTCTGTCTCGTCGTGAGCGCCACCAGCGAACCTATCACCAGCGTCGTCGGCACCAGCGTGAACACCAGCAACGGGAGGAACAAGATCTTCGTGAGCGCCACCGGCGAGACTGTCACCAGCAACGGCGCCACCATCAGCCAAGGGAGCTCCAGCAGCAGGCGCAGCAAATTTGACATGAAGTGGATGCGGGGGCAGCGAGAAGGGTGCAGGCGCCCAACCGCAGCGGGGACACGAACACCGGCGAGTGCAGAGGAGCGCCACCAGCGATTTTATCACCGGCGACATCGCCAAAAGCAGGTTGACCACCAGCGGCGTGGGGATGTTCTTCTCTTCGTGTGGATGTGCAGGTAGTGTTCCAGCAGCTCGGTCAGGCTAACGACTATCAGGCCGAGGGTGAGGTAACGAATCACTACCACCACCACCGTGCAGGTAGGCCGCAGCGTCGGGTAGGACACGGGCTTCGGACCGACCAGGGGGACGAAAGTGAAGAGCAGGATGTCGTTCGTCGGACCGACGAAGAAGCTGGGTGTGCAGCTCATCCCCGGTGTTAGTGAACACGTCTACTCCATCACGGTGCGTAGGGCGGCCTGGACACTGGTGTGTGCCCTCGGAGCCATGGATGTGACGAAAGAACTCGGCAACCTGGGTCAGCTTCTCACCCTGGCAGTAGCCCACGGGAATTAGCATCGGCGTGTTGCTGAAATCGGAGTTGGCAGCAGCAGAAGTGGGTAGATGGCCACGGAGCGCGGCTCTCGCACGACGCGACCACATGGCACCCTCAGAACGCGTGTGCGGCAGGGCTCACAACCCACGACCCGGTCAGCAAGAGCAGCCACCGCAGGTTGGGTCACGGCCACAAGCGGGCGGCGCGTCGCCAGGCCAGGATGCCTTGGGCGAAATTGCTGTGGTGGCCATTCCAGCCAAGTTCGAAATTCCGATGAGGGACGGACTTCAGCCAGGCTGCGGAAAGAAGAAGAAGACGAAAGGAGGAGGAGGAGGATGAAGGAGAAAGCGGGAAGGAGGAGGGGGGAGGAATGGGGGGAGGAGGAGGAGGAGGAGGAGGAGGAGGAGGAGGAGGAGGAGGAGGAGGAGGAGGAGGAGGAGGAGGAGGAGGAGAGGAGGAGGAGGAGGAGGAGGAGGAGGAGGAGGGAGGAGGAGGGAGGAGGGAGGAGGAGGAGGAGGAGGAGGAGGTAGGAGGAGGAGGGTTCTCCAAGGCATCCCGGAGCCCGCGCCCGCCTCCGTCGCGGCCAGCGACCTCGGGGCGGCGGCGCGGAGAGAGAGAGAGAGAGAGAGAGAGAGAGAGAGAGAGGCAGAGAGCTCCTCCCCTCCTCCTCCTCCTCCTCCTCCTCCTCCTCCTCCTCCTCCTCCTCCTCCTCCTCCTCCTCCTCCTCCTCCTCCTCCTCTCCTCCTCCTCCTCCTCCTCCTCCTCCTCCTAGAGCGGTCACACGGGCCTCCCAACATGCGCGAGGAAAAGAAACGGGTCTTACGTGAGGAGACACAGCGACCCTACGCCGCGGCTTGCACGGGCTGCCATCGCGGCACGCCACATCGGAAACGAGGGCGCTTACGCGCGACCTTGCGCGGGACGCTTACGCGCCAACGTCGGTGAAGACGATCTCATTTTTCTACGTCGCTCACATGGGTCCGAGTAGATGGGGTCAAAGGATCGCACCGTATCGCCGATGCATCGTCCATGCATCGGCGAGGCACCTGCAGTGCGCTGGCGACGTCGGCGTAGAGAAAATCGGGCTCCACGTCGAGCCGCACCGCCGATGCCTCGGCGACGTGGCGCGATTTTCCGACCCCATCTGCTCGGATCCCATCTGGGAGGCCCAGAAGAGGTCAGGGGAGGGACTCAAACGGGGCGGGGCCTGGGGCCTCCGCCCCGAAGGGAGGCGGTGCCGCGCATGACGCTGCCGAGGCCTCCTGCCTGCCCCCCCAGACGTCCAACGCAGTGGAAAGATCAAGACGAGGGTTCTTCGTCGATTTCGGCCTCTGAGGGCCCTGGCTGGGCCACGGGACCGCCAAAGAACGACTCGGGACGGAAAGCCGGCCATGGGGAGAGGGTCGGGACTTCCGGGGGCCCCACATAGGAAAAATCAAGACATCGGATCTCTGGGCCCCCCTGCCACCTCATCCTCCCAGCGGCTCGCGCCAAGCGCGGCCGCCCCCCTGCAGTAACGGTTTGCAGTAACTGTGCCTCGCGGAGATCTCGAGCGCGGTGATGTCCGTTCGGAGTCGCCTCAGGTAGTCAGGAATCTCACCGAAAAGCCTATGCCAACCTCGTTCCCCCTTCGTCCCATCGATGCCAAGGACTTCGTGAGTCCTCTACAAGAGAGGGCGACCTCACCACGCCCTTGCGGAACACCTCAAAGCGGTCCTCGAGCCACGGTGAGTAGATGTCCATGATTTCCTTCGGAGGTGCCCAAGCAAGACTCACACCTTCGCAAACTGCGAGGGCTTGCCTTCTGTGCTTTCTTCCAATGCGTGATAAACATGTGAGCTCATCAATCGACGGCTTAATTCCAAAATCGTCAGCATGTTTTGATCGTGTTGAGCCGTACCATTCCTGTTTCTTGTCTGCTTCGTCGCGCTTTGTTTGCCCAGCTTAGGAAACAATATTGGAGCCCCGCGGGGGTCGAAATTCCATGTGGGGCCCCACCAGGAGAATGAATCCCCAAACCGTATGACCATCGCCCCTGAATAAGCAAAGGAACGAATTTTCCTAGGTCTCGCCATCCTGACAACAACATTCTACAACAAACTGCCCCGTAAACCAGCCCTCGTCCTCCGAAAACTGGGCGTATGTGGTCTAGCGCGTTTCTAATTAATACCTTCTTCTTTATCTTCGGGGAAAAATTATCGCTGCTCCTTATTGACGAAGACCCTCTCCCCCAGTCGACCGGCCGCCGACCAGGAACAATGACCCCCAGCACCAATCCTGCCAAAAAACACTACAAAGCGCACGTGGTGGCAAACTTTGGCTCGTGAACGGGCACCCCGCAGTCTCTTTCGGTCTGCTTTGGTCCGCTGTGTGCTCGCCCACGAAACACATCAACCGCCAATCCAAGCTGATCGCGGGTGCGCACACCGTGTACCATGCTTGCCATCCCGCCGCCACATCTTAGGGTTTTCTTTGACAGGGGTGGGCCACTTTCGAGCTACATCTGCGCGGCGCGAGGCGAGAGCGACATCCTCGACCGCTCGCGCGTCGACGGATTGGCGTGCGACAGCTGTGCACTGCGCCCAGTCGGGAGCCCAGCTCTCGGGAACAACGAGCGCGACGCCAGGGCGACGGCGACACTTCGCCCTCTCGTGCGGGCTGTGCGCCCCGTGCCGCTCCTGCCGCGCACTTTGCACCGTCGACGCCAGGGCGTCCACGTTGAACACAAGCAGGTGGACTTTGCACTGTTTTCTTTGCAGGGGCCCTGGGACACACAAATGAATACACACAAATAAGAAACTTCCCCATGTTCTCCAATATTTTCAAGGTTTTCGTCTTCCCCCCCACTTCCCATATTTTCCTGCATTTTCGGGGGGATCGACGATGAATTGTGTCTGTGTGCTTTTTCCTTCCTGATTATTTGCGAGGAGGATGGATCCTCCTAGATGGAGCCCCTATCGGCTGGCCTGGTGACAGACTCGGATACTAAAAGGTGTGGGTATGGGTAGACGGAGCTGAAGGATCACGGGGGGGGCGCGGAGGAGATGAGTGAAAGGGAGCGGCAACGACGAGGAGGGGCGAGAGCAGAGACCTCTTAGGGGGAGTCTTGGACGCCTCTAGAGAGCCTATTCGGGGGCTCTTCGGGCCTCTTGGCGACTTCTGGGCCTTTCGGGCAGAAGAGCGAAACGTCAACTTAATTACTCATTGCTTGGAATGACACGCCGGTTCTTGGCACTACGCGAAGCTGCTTCGCAGTGGCTCGAAATTGAACCTCGCCGAGAAGGCTGGCTTCGGTCGGCCAGCAGCCAGGGCGAGCAGGCATGGCGCCTGCCAGAATGTATGTTAAACGTGGATCGAGGTTTCATATAGTGCAGTTGAAAGATGATTCGATCTCTTCTTTTCCTCTCTGAGCCAAAGGGACTGCAGTGCAAAGAAACGTCTGGAAACACTCTGTCTGGAAAATGCCCCCATGCTCCGGAGGCGCCTTTCCGGAGCACGGGAAAATCAATCCTTGCTTTGTGTCAAGCTACCCGTTGCAGTCTGAACTATAGAGGCTAAAGACGGGGGAATCTTCGTCACTCGTCCGCAGCTGCGCAGAGCGCTGCGCCAGCCTCAAGTAAGGTCTCACCGCTGGACTGGTTTCCCGCCGCCGTCCAGCAACTCCCTCCACGTCTCCTAAATGGATGTACGTAATCTCCGAGAGGTAATACTCGAGCAGATCATCTGCATCATTCTCCTCGGACTCCGGCTCCCAACTCATGTCGAGGTTGGTACCCTTGATCCCGATCTCCTGCCCGTAGTTGTCCTTCATGGTGGAGCCAAGCATCCTCGTGTGTCTCACGATCTCGGCCTCTGACAAGTACCTAGTGAACAAGTCCGCAGGGCTTGCCTTGCCGTTGATTTTCTCGATGGTTGCTCTACGAGTACGTAGAATCTGCTGAATCCACAACTCGGCTGTCTCCAGATGCCTCATCTCCTTCCCATTGCCGAGCCTGCTGCAATGGCCGAGCGCGGCCGAGCTGTCAGTGCACAGCCTGAGATTGAACTCCTTACTTTGCTCTTTCATCAAGTTCTGGAGATACAGTGGCTCGATCATGCCATTTACCGCGGCCTTGGTCTCTGTTTCTCCTGAGCTCAGACTGATTGTGGCCTGCGATACACACTAAGGCTTCATCTCGCAACCTCCGGAGGACAATGCACCTCCTGATGTGCTCTTCCTGGTATCTAACTCCCCACTCCAGTCGCTGTCCACGTGCGTGCCGATGTGCTCAGGTAGTCCATCGCACCATGGGAAGTCCTGGGTCACCAGCGGCGCGCCGTTGACATGCCTGGCAATCCTCTTCAGCTTCACCTCGTCCGACTTCGTCGGGGCGTTGCAGTGCCTCAGCACCTCTTTCGTCGCGCGAGCGATGTCACCTCTCTTGTCGGCCATGTGCTGCGCAATGCCTGCGCCTCCGCGATCGCGGCTATGATCATTCGGGCTCAACTTCGCGGTCTCCTCTTTCATGCCATGCATGTAGCCTGGCGTCGTGATGGGGTTGCCGTGCTCCACGCCCTCGTGCAACACGAAATCGCCCGCGTATTTTGGATCCAGCTCCTCGTGCGAGCCGCCCTCATCAACGTAGACACGCCTATTTTTTGAATCTCTGCTTCAGATCGAGCATGTGGCACCTGGGCCCATCTGCGAAGAAGTCGTCGCCATGCTGCTCGATATCGATGTCGTCGTGGTCCAGCCTGAAGATCGCGGGGTAGTAGCTGTCCCTCTGGACTCCCCAGATGCCGACTTTGCCGGCGGCGTACTCTGTCAAAGAAATACTCGGTTTTCCGGTACCGTTCACCGCCTTATTCAACTTCAAGTAGCCCGCCGCGCTTCAAACGCCCAGTGGGACTTTCATCTTCACCAACTCGTCGATTGGGGCGAGCATGGAAGCAGCGCTAACGTCGATCACCATCGCAGTGTAGTTCCTGTTAGTTGAGAGAGCATTGGGCTGGCACGGGCGAAAACGTGAACGAACCTCATCGCCTCTCCACTCTTCGACCCAAGCCATGTCGTGCAGGGGGTCGCCGTCCTCGATCGTCGTGTCCTCGATTGCCTCAAACTTAACCAAGTTGTCAAGCTCCTTCTGTCTGCCTTTCTCATGGGCCTCGTGGGGGAACTTCTGTCCGAACCACCCCTTTTGTCGCTCCAGCTCTACCTTCGGCTTCTCCGTGAGGGAAATCGCAGCGGCGGACGCTGCGCGGGCCCATCGGCAACGGCATTGGCGTCCCCGGCGCTGGCGTCCCTGGCATTGGAGTGCTAAGGGCCCCATCCATGACCCATGGGCCTCGGGGCAAGGAGACCAGCGTCGATTGCCACGCGAGGCGTAGCTGGCCCTGCATCAGAGGCTCCTGCCCTTCCTGCCGGGAAGGGCACGTCGTCGATCCTCCGGCGCTCGCTCCTTTCAGCTCGAACGCTTCTCCGGACTCGACCATGCCCTTCTCAATCCTCTGGCGGCATTCGGCGCTGTGGAATGCGCCGAAGCCCTCGCGCTTAGGGCGCCCCGTCGTGGCCCCGTACTTCTCGATCAGCTTGTCCGTGATGAAGAGACCTCTGACTTCCGTTCCTGCCGTGGGCGGGTCTCCTCCACTTCTGGCGCGCCCGTGCTCGTCGTGCCCCTGGTGTTTCAAGGCAATCCCCGGGCGCTGTTGAGCAGGGGCAGGTTGCGCTGCCGGTGTCTCTCGAACCCCTTGATCCCCCGGGACTCCGCGACGACCTCGGGGGCGATCAGGGCGGCCTCGTCTGTCTGGTCACTCCTGCCCACGTAGACTCCCTTTTTCCATCTCTCCTGAAATCTGTCGCCCACCGAGCACTTGTAGAGAACGCGCTCACCGAGGGGGGGCGACCTGGCCGCTGTAGTTGCGGCCTCTCGTGGAGAAGTAGGCTGTCTTCCTGTTCGCCTTCGGCTGGAACCTGTTGATGATCCAGGCCGCTGGTCTGCAGATCCAAGGCGTGCGGATGTGCCCCGGCGCGCGCGAGCTTGGTGTCGTATTTCTTCTCGACGTCGGGCCTCAGCGCCCACGTCTGGCCTCGCGCGATCTGGTGGGCTCGCTCTCCCCGCCCGGGGCGCCCCATTGCTGCCCTTCGGTGAAGCGCGGGGCGCAAGTGCAGTGGACTTGCAGCTCTTGATGATGGCGCTCCTGACGTCAATTGTGCTCGCCTCCTGGTCACACTTCAGCTCGGCCTTCAGGAATGCCGGCGAGGCGACGCAATTCAGGGGCGCCTGCATGACGTGCTCGTCGCTGCTGCCCTTCTTCCAGATGATTGCGCTGAAAACGGAACCGTGCTCACTGTCACCATCTGATATTAGGGTTAGCTAGTGCTCTGGGTCCGAGACCACGCCGCTGGCGCTCGAGTAGTCGAACTCGACGACGGGCACTGCATCCGGATTCCCCACAGTCGTCAAGGGGTGGCCGGGGTCGGGCGCCTTGCCCATGACGCGCGCGTCGCGCCGCGGCCTGAACGGGCAGCGCGTGCTCTCGTGGGCTTCTCGCTCCTCCTTCGTGGGCCCCTTCGTGGTCTTCGCCGCCTTGCTGGGGGCTTCGTGGGAGAGCTCCATCTCGAACGTCTGGATGATGTCTTCGTTGTCCTGCTTAGCCTTTTTCCACTGCTTGACTCGAGCCCTCCTCGAGGTCTTCCTTCCTGACCACAGGCGTGGCCTCGCCTGAGATCTCGCCATCAGGGCTGTCCATCTTGAGCTCGCCCTCTAATGCGAACGCCCCTTTTTCTTCGGCGATGTTGAAGCCCCTGGACCTCTGGAAGATGCGCTCTATCTCATGGGTGTCGCCGAGGTCCTTGATGATCTTGCAAATCCCAGGGCCGAACTCAGTGAGCTGGCCTCGTTCCTTCCGCTCCCTGACCGAGATGATCGGCCTGGTGCAATTGGTCACCTGGTAATCTGACGTGAACAGGTCGCCCGCGCTGTTCCGGCACGCCACATTCTCCTTCGTTCCGAAGGGCTCCAGCTTATCATTGGACGCCGTCTTGAGGTGGAGCCTGTTATTGGGGTCCCTCGTCGGCGTGTTCGAATGCCGCGTCGCGCAGCGCGATGCGATTGCACCGCTGTCAACCATCGGTCTCGCGTTGACAGAGCGCCCATGCTCCGGAAACGCCTTTCCGGGGCGTGGGGCCAGCGTTCCCAAGTCAACCTCTTCAACTGCGAAGATAAAACTCTCGATCTCCTCAGTGCTCTCCTCACCCATGTGATCGCCTTCTCGAGGGGTCTCTTCCTCCGGGATAGGCTCGCCCAAGAGTCCCATGATGATCTGCTGCTGTCCCATCGTGAACTCGACGGAATCTTCTGGGTCCTGCTGGGTCGAATCGTCGTCGTGCATCCGGTAGACCTCCACCTGGTTGTCTCTCGAGTCCACGGGGTCCGCGACGAACGAGACTGCCGCCTCATCGTCGTGCCGCTCTGGACGCTCGAAGTAGGTTTTCCGCCGCGTCCGTTGCTCCTCCGTCGGCTCGCCTAGTTGGCGCTCGTCGCCGTCGTCGCCCTCTTCCTCGGCAGGTCCCGGCGGTGCGTCTCTGTCAGCCATGGCGGCGAATATAAGGCGTTCGTATATTCTGTCGACTTTCTGGGCGCTTCCAACGACAGCTCCGTCATAAGGGGCTGCGTCATCTTGATCGGGCTCGCGCTTCCTTTTGGCCGTGAACCCTCAGATGTCCCGGGATCCTGTGTCTTCTGGCATCTCGGGGTTCTCGCGCGGCTGTCGCGCGTCATTCTTGCGCCGCTCTTCGTAGGCCTTCTTGAACCGACGCTGCGCCTCTTTGCGTCCAATTCTCCAGCACCAGTTGACAATACGCAACAAAGAAGCGTCTGGAAACACTCTGTTTGGGAAGTGCCCCCTTGCTTCACAGGCGCTTGTCCGGAGCACGGGGGAATCAATCCTTGCGTTGTGTCAGGCTTCTCGTTGCAGTATGCATTACAGAGGTTTACGACGGGGGAATTTTCGTCAGTATTATGTTTCGCAATTCGTTTCGCGGTGTGTCTCGTGCTTGTCTTGTTTTGCCTTGCCAAATTATTATGTGCAGTGTGTAGCCTTTTTTTCTGCATTGCTTTGTCTTGCCCTACCTTGTCCTGCCCTGTCTTGTTGAAAATGACCTTTTCGCCAAGTAGTGCTTACACTGAAGGCCCCCTCGTGGAGATTAAAAAATTACGCGACACAATTTGCCGATTTCTGTGGGGGGCGGGTTTCCCAAATTGCCGGGCTCCACATTCTGGGTCTTAGGTTTCGGGTGACATTAAAAACGTATTTAATCAGCGAGACCGCTCTTGGTAGGCGGCCAGGCTCCAGGTTTCTCGGTTCCGGGTGAAAGCTGGCAGTCGTTTCTAATGGGCGGCAAAGTTCCATGGCTCCCAGAAAGAAAAGTGCCGAGCGTCGAGAAAGTAGAGATAGCAAGGAGATCATACAGCAGAGCGCGCAGTGCAGAAAGCACGGGGAGTAGGGTAGGGAACAACGAGCGGAGAGGCGAGCGTAGAGGGTGGAGAGCGGGGAGTGCGAGGGTAGATGGTAGATACCTCTGGAGGCTAAAAGGGTAGGGCAAAGAGTAAGTCATCGATCGCAGACAGCAGCGTGTAAACTTAGGGCGTAGATAACAAACGCCACCACGTTCGTTTTCCTTCGCTTTCGCCCACCGCCGACGCACTGCCTTTACATTGTACTTACGAGCAGCCCGCAAGTTCGACCAAACGTGAATGCATCAAGTTGGTCTGGCGTCGCTTCGTGATGTATTACGATGCGTAGCAGTGCTTGACATTATGTGTTCATTTCGCCCGCCAGTTGTTCTAAGTTGGATGGGGCCGATTCAATCGGTTGCGTTTCCTTCCCATCTTTCCTTCACCACAACGCTCTAAGCATAGTATCGTTCTCGACCCGCGTATCCCAGTCTCCGTCTCGCGTTCGATCTGCATTGCATTCTCCCCTGATGGGTCGTTCTCGGTCTGGCTGTCCGTCTCCAGATTTGTTCCGATGAGGACTTGCAGTCCTGGAACACACAGCTGTGCCACCATTCTAGAAAATTAGCATGGCGAAGGACCCAACCATATGCAGTTGTGAATGCCGCAATTGTGCTGGGTGGTGGCGGACGCATGCGGGCGGTGCCACTGGGACCTTCGGTGGAGCTCCCTATGGGGCCACGAAGCGCTGTACTGGGTGGGTGAGACGCGGTCAGCAAGGGCTGTGCTGCGTGGTGGCGGACGCATGCGGGCTTCGGGACCTGGTGCCACTGGGACCTTCGGTGAAACGCAGGCAGGGAGCAAGGGCTGCGCAGGGTGGTGGCGGACGCATGCGGGCGGTGCCGCTGGGACCTTTGGTGGAGCTCCCTATAAAGCTACGAAGCGCTGTTCTGGGTGGGTGAAGCGCAGGGAACAAGGGCTGTGCTGGGTGGTGGCGGACGCAAGCGGGCAGTGCCACTGGGACCTTTGGTGGAGCCCCCTATGGGGCCACGAAACGTGCGAGGGGTGTGCCAGAATGGGGTGTGGAACCGCATGCCAGCGCAGCCACTGGGGCCTTCGGTGGAGCTCCCTATGGAGCCACGAAACGTGTGAGGGGTGTGCCGAAATGGGGGGTGGAACCGCATGCGAGCGCAGCCACTGCGGCGTTCGGTGGAGCTCCCTATGGGGCCACGAGACGTGTGAAGGGCGTGCCGAAAAGGGTGTGGAACCGCATGCGAGCGCAGCCACTGGGGCTTCGGTGGAGCTATGGGGCCACGAACCGTGTGAGGGGTGTGCCGAAATGGGGGGGGGGGGAACCACATGCGAGCGCAGCCACTGGGGCGTTCGGTGGAGCTCCCCATGGAGCCACCCACGAAGCGTGTGAGGGGTGTGCCGAAATGGGGGGTGGAACCGCATGCGAGCGCAGCCACTGGAGCGTTCGGTGGAGCTCCCTATGGGGCCACGCAACGTGTGAGGGGTGTGCCAGAATGGGGGGTGGAACCGCATGCGGGCGCAGCCACTGGGGCCTTCGGTGGAGCTCCCTATGGGGCCACGAAACGTGTGAGGGGTGTGCCAAATGTGTGGAACCGCATGCGGGCGCAGCCACTGGGGCCTTCGGTGGAGCTCCCTATGGGGCCACGAAACGTGTGAGGGGTGTGCCAAGAATGGGGGGTGGAACCGCATGCGGGCGCAGCCACTGGGGCCTTCGGTGGACTCCCTATGCCACGAAGCGTGTGAGGGGTGCCAGAATGGGGGGTGGAACCGCATGCGGGCGCAGCCACTGGGGCCTTCGGTGGACTCCCTGTGCGGGCGCAGGGGTGGTGGGGTGTGAGGGGTGTGCCAGAATGGGGGTGGAACCGCATGCGGGCGCAGCCACTGGGGCCTTCGGTGGAGCTCCCTATGGGGCCACGAAACGTGTGAGGGGTGTGCCAGAATGGGGGGTGGAACCGCATGCGGGCGCAGCCACTGGGGCCTTCGGTGGAGCTCCCTATGGGGCCACGAAACGTGTGAGGGGTGTGCCAGAATGGGGGGTGGAACCGCATGCGGGCGCAGCCACTGGGGCCTTCGGTGGAGCTCCCTATGGGGCCACGAAACGTGTGAGGGGTGTGCCAGAAATGGGGGGTGGAACCGCATGCGGGCGCAGCCACTGGGGCCTTCGGTGGAGCTCCCTATGGGGCCACGAAACGTGTGAGGGGTGTGCCAGAATGGGGAGTGGAACCGCATGCGGGCGCAGCCACTGGGGCCTTCGGTGGAGCTCCCTATGGGGCCACGAAACGGGTGAAGGGTGTGCCAGAATGGGGGGTGGAACCGCATGCGGGCGCAGCCACTGGGACCTTCGGTGGAGCTCCCTGTGGGGCCACGAAACGTGTGAGGGGTGTGCCAGAATGGGTGTGGGAGGGGGAGGAGGGGGGAGGAAGGGGAGGAGGAGGAAGGAGGAGGAGGAGGAAGGAACGCGGGGCGACGTCTCTTCAAAACGAGGACCCAACACCACAGGATGGTTGGGAAAAGCAAACGAAACTATAACGTATAACGTGGGATCACCGCCAAATCAACATGACTGCTAATTCATCCCAATCCAGAATCTGAACTTCCATGCCCCGGTAAGGTTGACAAGTGTGCGGCGCCTGGGCGCGCGGACCCTGTCGTCGCTTATCGCATAAAATAACTGAGCCGCTGACCAGACCTGGCGACTGTAGGGATTACGGTCAAAGACTTTTGCTTGGCTTGTCGCGGCGGCGGCCTCCGCGACACGCTATGCCCTGCGAGCGGATAGCGTGTCGTTCCGCTCCGCGAGGCGGGGGGCTCGGAAAAGCTAGGGGAGTTGACGCTTGGAGATCTATACGCGGTTCGCATGTCGCGCCGAGGCGCGGTGGGCCAGAACTGGAGGCGCGACACGCGAACCAACAGTTCGCGGTCAACACGCAGGCTGGAGGGCGCGACTGGAGGGCGAGATCAACACGCAGACTGAAAACGTATGCTTGGCGCGATACGTTCGCCAACACGTGTGCCGACACGTTGAGCCAACACGCAGCGTGTTAACACGGACGTGTCGAACATGCCACGTGTTGCGTTTCAAAACGGGCGTCGCAGGGCAACTAAGCCGAGGACGCATACGGAACCCCCGCTCCCCCCGCTGTGGCTGGTCGGCCGCCCCGCGGCCCCCAAGGGGTCCTTGACGACCCTGCGCTTGAGGTAGACGACCTCGACCTGCCGGGGGAGACGGATGCGGGGGGGAGGAGAGATGCTCCTCCCTCTCCTCCTCCTCCTCCTCCTCCTCCTCCTCCTCCTCCTCCTCCTCCTCCTCCTCCTCCTCCTCCTCCTCCTCCTCCTCCTCTCCTCCTCCTCCTCCTCCTCCTCCTCCTCCTCCTCCTCCTCCTCCTCCTCCTCCCTCCTCCTCCTCCTCCTCCCTCCTCCTCCTCCCTCCTCCTCCTCCTCCTCCTCCCTCCTCCTCCTCCTCCTCCTCCTCCTCCCCTCCCCCCCCCTCCTCCTACCTCCTCCCCCTTCTTTCCCTCCCTCTCCTCCTGCTTCTCCCGTCTTCCTCTGCCCTTCTTCTTCTTCCTCTTTCTCCTTCTCCTCCTCCTCCTCCTCCTCCTCCTCCTCCTCCTCCTTCCCCTTCTGCTCCTTCTGCTCCTCCTCTTGGGGTTGCCCAGACATGGGTCGAATCGCCTTTCTGATAAACAGCCCCTGGTCGCAACCTCAGACGCCTGGACAGAAGACAAACTCGAAGGGCGCTCCCTATGCCACTGGCGCATTTTTTTGTCACAGCGTGGATCCTCAGAATTCTCGACCCCTTCCCAAGGAACGGCTGGACCAACTTTCAACTACGAGCCATTCTTGACAGTCTCCGGGAGGGCCCCCAGAGGCTGGAGAGTGCCTCAGGGTGAGGGGCTCGGCGGACGTCTGCGCATCTGTCGGCGCAGGTGATCTGCGGAGGGGTTCTGGTGTGCCCGACGAGTGGGAGGGGCGCCTCTTCCTCGTTTCGCCGAGGGCAGGCCGATCGAACTGTGACTGGTTTCGGGTCAGAAGGGATTGACGACCTGTCCGCGTTTACAGACGGGGATGCGAAGCGCGGGTCGCGGCGAGTGTCAAGGAGGCGGGCGCGGAGGCGAACTGCGGACTTCCAGGGGGACCTGGATCGGTCCGCAAGAACTGCGTGGAGCTCGGAGAGGTAATGCAACTAGGGCTCCCAACTTCGCGCTTCGCGCTCCGCGAAGCGCGAATAACTTCGCGCCCTCGCGCCGCCCCCCCCAAAGGGAGAAAAGGAGGACGAGGAGGAGGGGGAGAAGGAACGAGGACCGCGAAGCGCGAAGCGCGAATAACTTCGCGCCCTCGTGGGAGCCCTTGATGCAAGGACCGGTGAGGCGGCTCCAGGCGAAAGGGGGCTGCCGTGCAGTGGTGTTTGGCCACGTGCTCATTTTTCCGCCTACTGGAAACATGCGCGCGCGGTTCTGGTCCAGGGCGTTTGCCTCGTCCCTGTTGGATGGCTCTTGAAATCTGGTGCTGCTCTTCTTGGGGGGGGGGCTCTCGGGGGGGCCCCTGGGAGTACTTTTTTCCAGTTTCTGGAGGGGCTCTTAGGGGAATTGTTGGCCTAATAGGGGCCTCTTGTGGGCATCTCGGGTGCCTTTGGGGCGATCTTGGGGGGTAGGGCCGCTGGGGACCTGTAGACCTCCCCCTCTCTGGCTCCTTCGGAGCCCTTCTTGCAAGCATCTTGGGTCCCCTTGGGAACATCGTACGGCATCTTCAAGCTAACTGCACGGGCGTCGGCCCAGGGATAACGCCGCGCTGGCCCACAACACCCAGAGGAGGAGGACGACGACGACGAACACAAGGGGGGAACTACGACGAGGCGACGAGGAACAAGAAAGAAACGCAGGGCTCCTGCTGGACCGCGCGCCCTCAGTGACGCCGTTCTCTGAGCCCGGCGGCAGCGACCGATGGCCTGTGAAACGAACAGATGGATGGGGGTAACATAACAAATACTCGGCTCGGGGGCACGCTGCGGGTTTGTCTGCTTCGATCTCTCGCGCGACCGGAGGCCATCTTCGGCCGCTGGCGCTCCGCGAGAGGGCGGCTGGAGCGGCGGGAGGGCCGGCTCCGCAGAGGAGCGGCGCCTCCCCCAACGCCGCCTCTCCCCACGACCCTGCGCCGGTCGCGCGCTCCGCCACGGAGCAGCGTATCACGCCTGGCGCTCGGTGTACGCCAGATCCTATGGCCCCAGACCCCCTCGAGTAATGAAAAAATCATGACGGGAGGTTTTTCGCAATTTTCGGCCTCTGGGGGCCCTCACCGGGCCTCGGGAGCGTCAAAAAACGACTCAGGATGCAAAGCCGGTCATGGGGAAAGGGTCGGGACCTCTGGGGGTCGACGTAATGAAAAAAACATTACGTCGGGGGTCTGGGGCTCTGGCTTCGGCATCGTTTCCTTTCTTATCGTCGCCCTCCTCGCCTTCGTCGGCGGCTTCCCCTCGCTCTCCTGCTCGTCGGGACTGTCGCTCTGGGCTGCCAGCCTTCTTGCACGCAGACAGTGCTTGGCCATGGCGAGCGCAGCGGGTTTGGCATTGACGAACGCGGACGGCTCCTCGGTGGTGTTCGCTTGGGCCAAACTGGCGAACTCTTCGGAGGTGTCCGCTTGAACCAGACCACCGGGCTCCTCGGTGGAGTCCGCCTGGACCAGACCACTGGACCAGCCCAGCGCGAATCTCGGTGGTGTCCCCTTGCGCCAGCCCAGCGGGCTCCTCGGTGGTGTCCGCCTGGACCAGACCAGCGGGCTCCTCGGTGGTGTCCGCTTGCACCAGCCCAGCTGGCTCCTCGGTGGTGTCCGCTTGCTCCAGCCTGGCGTGCTCCTCGGTGGTGTCCGCTGGCACCAGCTCGGCGGGCTCCTCGGTGGTGTCCGCCGCGCCTGAGGCGTCTCGAGATTCCAGGCTCAGCACGCCAGGCTCGTCCATCCCCGACTCGGGCGGCGCCCTCGCCGTCGTCGAGCAGGTCGCTGGGCAAGCCCGTCACGTTCTGTCCTCGTGCGCCTGGTCGATCGTCTTGCCCTCTTGGTCGCCTCTCTTTGCAAGGACCAGCGGCCGCCCCCGCGCGTTGACCTCCACGCTGGCGGCGGGGGCGGCGTTGCGGGCGCTGGCGCTAGGGGGGTCGCCGGCTCCTTGAGGAAACGGGGCCCCTTGAGCATCGTTTGACCGATCTCTATCCCCACTGGCACAGGTGGGGATATTGCATGCTTTTCCCTTCGGGTTTCGCGGTGCCCATCCCCAACTGGGGGGCTGGGCCGGTGGAGCCGAGAACGCATGGCCCAATGGGGACGGGGATCGATCACGCGATGCCGAGCTGCGGGGGTCGCCAGCTCCCCAAGAAAGCGGACCCCCTGGACACCCCAGAGCCCCCCAGGACTCCCAGAGACGCCCAAGACGTCCTCGATCCTCGATCCTCCTTTCTCCTTTCTCCTCGATCTCTAGGAGGAGGTGGCAACCTCCCTGAGTCGTGGCACCCGTTTGCGCCGCCCGAGGAAGCTCAGCGCGGAGGCCTGGGCCCCCGCTCTGCGCCGCTCGGTCTGGGCCGTGAGCCACCCTGCCTGCGAACCTGGACCTGAAGTTGAAACAACAGGTAACAGGCCCGCCTCCTCGAGCCTCCCTCCTCATCGAGCCTCCAGGAGGAGGGAGGCTCGAGGAGGAGGGAGGATCGAGGAGGAGGGAGGATCGAGGAGGAGGGAGGTTCGAGGAGGAGGGAGGCTCGAGGAGGAGGGAGGCTCGAGGAGGAGGGAGCATCGAGGAGGCCCCGGCCGCGCGAACGCAGAAGCGCCCCCTCTTGGGGGAGGCGCCGCAGGGGTCCGGGGGGGGCCCGCGGGCCCCACCGGTGAGGCGCCGCAGGGGCCGGCCCGCCTGAGGAAGCAGAGGGTGAAGCCCGCGAGTCCCGAAGGGAGGGGCAGAACCCCCTGCCCTCCTCCTCCTCCTCCTCCTCCTCCTGCGCCTCCGCCTCCGCCTCCTCCTCCGCCTCCGCCGCCTCCTCCTCCTCCTCCTCTCCTCCTCCTCTTCCTCCTCCTCCTCCTCCTCCTCCTCCTCCTCCGCCTCCGCCTCCTCCTCCTCCTCCTCTTCCTCCCCCGGCCGTCCTGTGCCACCTCGTGCCCAGACATCCGACGGTAAGAAGTTTCCAGCCCACGGCCGCAGAGGTCCCCGACCCCTTCTCCAGGGCCAATGTTTCGCCCCGGACCGATTTCTGCCGGCCCCAGGGCCCGACAACGTCTCCCAGCGGCCGAGATCGGGAAACACGCCAGAACTCAACAAGACAAGGTATCGTCGGAGGTCTTTGGAGCGAATGGCAACGACGTGCTGCCGGCTGTCTGCTGGACCGTGCCGCTGCCGCAGCAACGGGCGGAGGACGACGAGGGAACGAGGCAGACGAGGAGGCCGAGGGGCGGAGCGAGGGCAGCCCAAAGCGCAGAGGCGACAACCCGAGGGGAAGAGGAGAGGCAGAGGAGGCGACAGAGCGACAGGGGACAAGACGTTGGAGACCTGGATGCGCGGCGAAAGTTCAAGGCAGCAGCCCGGAGGGGGCCCTGGGGAGCTGGACGGCAGCGGGGGGACGTGCCCTGCGCCTCACGCCTCCCCCCACATCGTGATCGTAGCGGGGGGCACGGGGGCGGGGCAGCGTTTGGACGGGCAGCCTTCCTCTGGTGACGGCATCGGCTAAGGCCTGGAAGCCGATGGAACTCCAATCGTGGATCGGCCATGGATATCACCGTCGCCCTCATCAGATGAGGAATCCCCCAAAGGTCTAAAGTCTCCTGGGGACACTGCTAACCCCCCTTCTCCCCCGTAGGACAGCTTCCCCTCCTGACTTTTCCCGCCCTCTTACTACGACGAGGCCAGGGCCCACGTAAAGGGCATGCGTGCGTGCCATGCTGAAGCGCCACGATCAACCACACACACACGAACAATTTAAGTTTCGCCCATGCAACATGGATCGGCTTCACGACATAGTAGGCATACAAACTCACGCACGTACGTAACTTACTACTGTATGTGCATCGCTGGCTAGAGTCCGTATTGATACATACATCGATGAACACACCAACGCCATGACCAACATCGAACCAATGAAACACAACATGTAAACACGAATGAAGCAGATCGCACTGCAGAGGCGTGCAATATTAACGTCGACAACATTAGCAGTAGTCCCCTGGCGGGGGCCACTCGACGAAACATGATGTCTGGCTCATTCTTTACAGTGGAAGGAATCGATGTCGATGGCGGGTGATGGCTGAGGCAGCGTGATTCAAAGACCTTTGAAGATCTCGGAGATGAAATGTGCTCGTGCAGAAAGCGTCCGCGACGGCAGCACGGCCATCCACAGAAGCTCCGGCCTGCGTCTCGCACTTGGCGGAGTAGGTGAACTTATGCACTGTCGTGTCCCACTCGTGCACTGGGACCTGATTCACATTCCGACTGGCCTGATCTCCTATCATTACCTACGCCTTCTATTCCTTTTTCCTTGTCTCACTCTCTACTCCGCTCCAACTGCAATGTGTATGTAATTTCGGCACGACCACAACCCGCACGGTGATTGAGGAGCCGGCACTGCTCGATCATGCCACACAAACTAAGTTTCGTAATGGACTGAATCAGAATCTGCATTACAGCTCGCATGGGCCGTCTACCTGTGGTCTATGTAGCGACAAGATCGCCCACGTGCGTACCGACATTGGCGCGCTGAGCGTACCCCTGAAATGTTTCGCCCCTCGTCTGGGTGTTCGACACGGCGCAGCCTCCCTACGAGTGTCCACTGGCTGCGATGATATGAAGGTAAACGCTCGGTAACGAATGTAAGCCCTTCCTGGGGCCGACTTTCCTGAAGCATTTATAATCTCTAGGGGGGCCTCCGAATCCGCCCACCACGCTTTGCATGGAACGGCCGGGATTCCTATGGTTATGCTCATGCGTTTGCGCAAGCCTGTGCGTAATCCACTGCGTGCACGTGTACAAATATGTAAATGTTGTTGTGTATCTCCATATATACACGAACATATACATACATTGCATGTATGCATGTGTGTGTCTGTGTGCCTGTATGCATACATGTATGTATGCATGTGTGTATGCATAGCTGTATTGAATGTATGCGTGACGGTTTTCATAAATGGACTTGGACGGCTCCTGCGATCATACGCGGCACGTTACAACGCGGACATTATGCCAACGCTTCTGCTTCTGCTTATGTTAGCGCTTCAGTGTCCGCAGACGCTTCGCCTTAGACCTGCCGCACGATCCTCCAACACCGCTCGAACATCCCTAGCGGGTTCCAGACCGCCCCGACCGTCCAAAGAAACTTCCAATGCGCCCTCCTGGCAACACTACCGAGGCTTGACGCCCTTGCTCTGATTCCGCTTTGGGCAGGACCGTAGTGGTGGGCGGCGAGGAGCCCATTCCGAGGGCACGACAAGAAGTCTACACGTCTCCTTGGAGCACTTTTTCGCCGGCGGCCAGGCAGAGTAACTGCGCTGGCGGAAGAGCAATGACAACGGGGATGCCGTTGAAGCGGATTATGCCACGATGCAGGCAAATTGACGGAGACAGGGAGGGCGGCCGAAGGAAGAGAGAAGGAGCAGGGGCCGCTCAGGGGGACGGGTCACAGCCGGAGCGGGTGGCGCGGTAAACCCCACTTGGAGCACACAGAGGCGTGCGGACGCGCGAAGCGCTTCGGCGGGGGGGGAGACGCCGTCCTAGTCCACGGGACCGAAGCGTGGCGTTCAGGGCCTCGAAGCCCCACTCCCGCCTTACTTACCGAGCGCGTTCCACTACTCGCAAAGTGCCGACTTGCAAACGTCCAGAAGCACATGCCTTCCTCTATGTAATGGCGCGTACATTCCTGCCGCGGCGGATTCGGGCCATTTGCGAGTAGCTACTTTGCGAGTAGTGGAACGCGCTTGTCGACTTACGCTCGGGAACCTCGCCGGCCCTCGAAGGGGTCAGGCTCCTACTGCGTGACGCCCCGGGTCCTCCTCCCATGCCTGGTAGCATCGACGCATCTCGGGGCCTTGCAGGGGCAAGCTGCACAAAAACTGCCATGGCAGGCACTTCCTGCCGAGGCCGTGTGGCCTCTTCCCTGCCCCTGGATCCTGGATGCTCCTGCGAGGGGCCTCGCCGGACCTCTGGGAGGGGCGGGGGCCCCATGGAGGGACCTCCCCATCGAAGGAAGCTCCCTCCGCGCTCCGTGCCGCCGCTGAGCCTCGGAATCCCCAGGCTCTGCGCAAAAGCCCTGGGGATGGGAAGCTCTGAGAGGCCCTGCGCAAAACGTAGCCAGGAACGGGTCAAAGTGGGATCGGGACAAATCGGGGATCTCTGAGATCCGGCGGTTCTGGACAGAGCATTTCGGAACGCTCTCAGAACGTTCCAGTAAGCTGTTTTCTGCCACGACGAAACGCACCTATTATTTAACCTGTCACATCTTACCTGTCAGCTCGCGTTGCGAATCCAATCGTACTCCCACTAAACCAGTGAGACTCAGCTGGCTCGAGGAGGGAAGGGGAGGAGGAGGAGGAGGAGAAGGAGGAGGAGGAGGAGGATGAAGGGGATGAGGAGGAGGGGGAGGAAAAAGGAACGAGAAGGATAATAGGCAATGGGCGCTGTGCGGATATCCTCTGCGGCCCAACGGCCACTATATAATGCAGAAAATGCACAACGACATCCCAGAGAGGGAGAGGGATCCGGACGAGGAGAGGAAAGTGGGGGACTCAGATACGCAAGCCCCAGCAACGTATCATCAATAATCGTATCCAGCCAAATCGAGAAAAACTGCCGCACTAGGCCTGACACAGCGACAACCACGGAAATAAACAGTACAGTGAAGTGTGAAGACGGCGCGAAGCCGCAGATGACAAGAAACGCGCTCATACTTTGTCGCGCAAGAGAGTTCGAGAATGCTCTGGAACGATATATCCAACTCCTGGGCCTGTCTGACGCCTCATGGTGGAGACCTCCTCTGCAGAGACCCCCCCACGTATCGCTGCCGATTCTTCCTGGCGAGGCACCGCGGATGCATCGCCCATGGGGGGCTCTGGGGTCCTGGCGAGGCCCAGAATGTGTCAGCCTTCTTGCGGAGCCTGCCTTTGTGGACGGAGCCCCGCGGATGCACTTTCGCCGCGGGGAAGCCTAACGCTCGCGCCCGAAGAGACACCTGCAAACTCCCAAACGCCCTCCGCGTCTTCCGTCCACCCGCGCGGACCACGGTGCATCCTCCTGCCCGCCCGCGGGGAAAATCCCCCATCCCACTCGGAGCAAGGGAAGGTGGAGCGTGCCAGACGAGGTCCAAAGTCAACCGCGAGAAGATGTCTGGATCATGCGACTGGAGCTGCTGCTGCTGTCGCTCTCCGAGCCACGAACAAAGAAGGGAGACGAGGAATAATGGAAGGATGATGAGGTGGAGGACCAGTGCAAATCCAAGACGCAGCAACGATGTTGCGATAACCTCGCCCTCCAAGTTCCCTCTTCAAAGGTCCGTACAAGGCCAGGCATGTTCTTCATTGCGGGAAGTGCCCCGCCGAAGGACATCCGTCTGAGAATTCTCCGTCGGCCACAAGGACCACTCCTGGGACTTCAGTGCCGCGAATCGACGTGACTGTTGCGTCCTGGCAATCCTACATTGTGCCGCAAAGCCGTTTCTGGGATTTCTCCACCGCGAATCCACGTGTCGGTTGCGCCCTGACCATCTTAAGTCGTGCAGGACACCATCCCTGGGACTTCCACATCACTGCTCTAAACTTTGAAGCGGACGCGCGTGGCCCTATGGCGAGGACAACATTTTGAAACTGGCCCGCCCTGCGTCCTTGAAACTGTTGGCAATTTCCAGGACGAGCGCGCGAGGCGCTAAAGCAAGAGCCACATCTTGAACATGGCCCGCCCTCCATCCTTGAAGCTGGTGCGATCTTTTGATGTGAATGTGCGCGGCGCTTAGGCGAGAGCCATATTTTGAAAGCGGTCCACCTTCCTTCCCTGACTCGGTTGAAAACTTTTGAGGCCCATGTGCGCGGCGCCTGGGCGAGAGCCACACTTTGAAGACGACCCGCCATCCATCCTTGAAGCTGCTGCAAGTGTCAGGCTTCAGGGCCATACGTGGTGAGGAAGTCTCAAGCGAAATGGCAGGGGTGCCCTACGGATACGTCTGGGGGTGCGAAAGTGAAGAGTTGTTGATAAGGAAAGGGAAGCAAGGAGGAGGAAGAGGAGGAAGCAGAGAATGATGATGATGCTGATGATGATGCTGATGATGACGATGATGATGCTGCTGCTGATGATGATGACGATGAGGGGGAGGAAAAAAGGGAGGAGGAGGAGCGCCAATAACTTTCCTGGTTCGATGTCAACAAGCTCAACGCCGTGGCCTCAGCCAGCTGTATGGCTGAGATGCACCAGGCGGAGGAAGACAAGTATAACGTTCGGGCATTTTATGTAGGGCCGCTTTGAGGCCTCGAACTGCTTGGGAACTGTAAGTGAGCACCCATCCCTCCTGCCTGCAATGATCGTTTGCTGTGTGAGAACCACAGAAACAAATGGCAGTGGCGACCATGGCGCTTTCACGAGTGAGGTCCCTAGCAGGGTATAGCAGGGTAGTGCCTAGGAGGAGGAGGAGGAGGCGGAGGAGGAGGAGAAGATGGATGATGATGATGTAGATGATGATGATGAGGAGGAGGCGGAGGAAGGGACACCGGCAGAGAAGGGCGGGGAGCGGAGGCGGCAATGTGCCAATCCCATCCTGCCCCCTCGAGGACGAGGCCGCGAGCGCGGGGAGCGGGCTGGTAGGGGCGCGACCCACAGGCACGCCTCGCCGAAGTGGGCGGGGGCGCTGAACTCCCTGCCAGAGGGCAGCCGGATACAGAAGAAATCTGCAGGGCCCCGAGATGCTCCAAGGCTTCCGTGGGACCATAGGGGCCATCGGGGGGTAATGAACTTCCGAGGGCCACCTGCTGACAGGCCGACTTCTTATTTGGCGTGCCTACCGCGGACGTTTCTTCTGGCCTTCTTGTTTGTAGCACTGCTTGCCACCCAATGGCCCGCTAAACTGGCCTCCCAGAATTGTGCACTCCCTGGTAGACGGCGACTGGGAAGACCAATTTGTCTGCCTCCTGGTCGTTTGTGTTCGCACCGCGTGGCACCCAGTGGATTTTCGCACTGGTCGCTCTCCCAACTGTGCGTCGGCATAGGTGCTTCGCTTGTCCCCCCCCCCTGGCTTGCTGCGCATCGCGTTGGCGCTGACGGGCTGCTCCGAGCACGAGTGCCTGGGGACGTCCACTCTCAGCTGCCCGCGCCTCGGCATCGCGGGCGCCGCGCGCGCGCGAGCAGCGATCGGCGCGCCGCCTCTGCATCAGCATCTCTCCCCTGGATGGTCACCCTTCCCCCCCCCCCGTCCTCTGTCAACCTCCCATCCTCCTCCTCCTCCAGCTCCAGCTGCGGCCTTCCCTCCAACTCCCCCCCCCTCTTCTTCTCCTCCTCCCCCTCCTGACGCACACGCTTTCAAACCGGTCCTCCATACGCTCCGCCAATCAGCAGGAAAAGGATGGGCACTCCTCCCTCTCCTCCTGCACCCACTGTTCTCTCTCTCTCTCTCTCTCTTTCTCTCCTCCTTCCTCTACTGCGCCTCCTCCTCCTCCTCCTTGCCAGCACCACCTCCTCCTCCTCCTTATCGCCCTCCTCCGTCCCTCTGTTCCCCCCTCTCCCTCTCCCTCTCCCTCTCCCTCTCTCTCTCTCTCTTTCTCGTTTTTTTTTTTTTTGTTTCTCTCTCTCTCTCTCACTCTTCCCCTATTCCCACCCCTCTTTCTGTCGTTCATTCTCCTTCTACCGCTATTTTTCCTCGTCTCCTTCTCACTTCCCTTCCAATTCTCCTTCCCCTGACCGGTTCCCCTTGTCTCACCTCACACGCTGAACGCCTGTGCGGACGTCCGTTCCCACGACGCCCGACGCCGCGTCGAGCACCAAGCCTGGAGACGGGCATGCCCCAGAGAGCGGGAGCTGCACCTCCGCTGCCAACGGCGCCGGCGTCGGCGTCAGCCCCAGCGCGCCGGTGCCCGCATGCTCCAGGAAGCCGGCCCAACCCGCGCGCGCTGCCCAGCCATCCGACGCCGCGATTTCTCCATGGCATGCAACTCGCGTTCCCGATTTGGAAGGAGGGCAAGTCTGTGTCTGGCCTCTCGGCCTTTCCGCCTCGCGGCTCTTCGCCTCGCGTGGCACTGTGCCGCGATCGCAGCACGGGCGCGGGTGTGGCGCGCTCGGTCGTGTGCTCTCACGGCTGAGGCTGCTCTGCAGCTGGCTGGCGGTTCTGTCCTCACGCCACGGCGTGGCTCCACAAAAAGTCTGCACCCCTTCCCCTGTGACGTTTTTGACGGTCCCAAAAATCTGGTCCAAAGTCCCTGCTTTTTCCACATAAAAGTCTGGAGCCCTTCCCCGAAAGTCTGGACCCATTCCCCAAAAGTCTGGACCAGCTTCTCATCCCCTGTGCCGTTTTTTGGCGGTCCCCGGGGCCCGTGGAGACCCTGGGCGGTCGGCAGTGGCCAAAGACCTCCCGTCGCGGTCTCCCCGCGACGCGAAGATGTCGGGGCAGGAGGCGGAAACCCGCGGCCGACGAGTTCCGTGCTCGCCGCCGCAGCGCGAGGCCGTCCAGGGACCGGGTTGGGGGGCCGAATGCGTGGCGCCCCGCGGCAGGCCGACGAAACCGCCAGGGCCGGCGAGCAGAGCGTGACAGAGCCGAGCGAGCTCTCGTCGGCGCGGCCGCGCAAAGCTCGGTGGGCGAGCAGCGGGGTGCATGGCACAAGCCTTGCCGCCCTCCGGGGCGACCGTCCCATGGCGGCAGGGAAGTTTCTGCCCCGACGCTGACAGGTGAGCGGCGAACGTAGACGGGTCTTACGCGAGACGCTGTAGAGACCCCACGCGGTGGCTTGTGCGGGCCGCCGTCGCGACACGCTGCCTTGGCAACGGGGGCGCTTACGCGCGACCTTGCGCGGGCAGCTTGCGCGCGGGTGTCGGCACAGACGACCCTGTTTTCTTGCGTCGCTCAGGTGGCGGTGGAGACCTTTCAGCCGCTCTGGGACAGGCGCACCCGACGGCGGAACAGCTACTTTCATACAGACGACGCGCTGCCACAAGGAACGCAACATAAGGAACGAAGCCCCTTTTTGGGCGCCAGCAGCGCCTGGGTGCACGAGGAGGGCTGGAGGAACCACCACGGAAGGGCCACAGGAGCAGCGAGCCCCTTCCGAACCGAAAGCGGTACTCATCGCAGCGTCTTGACTGCAGGGTCCCATGTTGCAGCCCCTCTGAGCCATCGGGGACTCAAGCGTCGCATGCCACGGCCTTCCCTCCACTGCAGGAGCGAGCGATCACGTGTCACGACCCTCGGGGATCTGGGGAGGGAGAGGCGATCCGTCTGGACACGATGATGATGATGATGCTGATGATGATGATGATGATGATGATGATGATGATCATCATCATCATCATCATCATCATCAGCATCATCATCATCATCATCATCATCATCATCATCATCATCATCATCATCATCATCATCATCATCAGCATCATCATCCCCTCTGCACCCAGACTGCTCCTCCTTTCAGCGTCTTGTCTGCACACGTCGTGCGCCCGCGAGAGGCGCGGGCGCCCTGCACCGGGCTGGACGGAGGACGGCGGCGCCCTCCACCTCTGGAGGCTCCAGGAGAGCCCCAGACTCGAACCGAGAAGCCTGGGGAAGCCAAGAGGTACCGATACCGCTGCTCCCCGGACCTCTCCCGGGGTGCGTTCTGACGAAGATTTCGAGGCGAATCCAGCGGTGGCGCCGAGGACCTCCCAGGAAGCCCTGCCCGACAAGGGGAAACCAGGGAAAGGTAGGGATATCGGCACCTCTTACTCCTCTGAAAGTCGGACCGGGGATCGAAATGAATCGGATCGGCGGGAATCGGCAGCCAAGTAGGGAGAAATCGAATCGGCGGATTTCGGCAGGCTAATAAGGCCTCCATGGAGAAACCGGAATTTAGATCGGCATCCGACATCGAATCGAATCGGAATCGATGGGAATCGAATCGAACCGAGTCGGAGGCATCGAAGCGAGCCCCGACTCTCGGCGCCGCGCGGACCGCCCTGCCGGACGCGGATGGGCGAGCGAAGGCCCGGCTGCGCGCGGTGAGCGCCGGCGGGGACAGCGCGCTGCGCGTCTGGGGCCTGGCCACTGGCGGGCTCCTGCTCACGCAGGCGGGGCACGCCGCATGTCCGATGCGCCTGGACACTCTCCTCGCGCCTTGTGGTGTAAGGGCGGCCATGTCGAGGAATTCACAGGGCGACCCACGGCGTGTGGGCGACGGCGGCTGCGCTCGTTGCTCTCGTGCCTGCCCAACTGCCTGCCGCCGATTCGACGCTTGAGCGCGGCCCGTTGCAGTCACGCTCCGAAGCCTGCCGCGCCAGCTGATACGAATCAAAGCGGTGAAGCAGGGTAAGATCACGATCCGCTTGGGGAATCTGCACGCCTCCCACTCCCAGGGTGCGCCGTGCCGACCAAGAAATTCCTGGATCATGCGCTCGTGGCTGCGGCAGTTCTCCGCTGTTGGCTCCTGGCGTGAGCACGCTGCAATGGCTCCGAACAAATGCAGCTATAGCCAGCTGGCGCGAGCCCGTTCGTCAGGTCGTTGGCGATGGCCCACATCAGATAAATATGATCTAGATTCGCCCACCAATCACGAGCATAGGCGTGCAACACCTGGCCCTAAGCCCAAGAGGCATCCATAATGAAAACGTATCACCTGGCCGCCTTCAACAACAATCACCAGAAAACACTGCCACGCCAGGCAATGCATGATTATGCAATCCTATGGATGCAACGCCGAAGTGCCAGAAAAGTAACGCACGCAAGCCCACGCCAAAAAAACCGAAACATAACATCGCAAACCACGCACCGCCATCATGGATTCTCATTGAGTTGGGGGTTGAGGCAGGACCATTTGATATCTCTCTTTCTCTCTATCGCTCTCTCTCCCTCGCTGGACTTCACTATGCTGTCACAGGGACTTCACTAAGCGGGGACAATGCAAAGGAGGAGGGGAGAGGAGGAAGAGGAGAAGGGAAAGGAGGGCCATTGTGGCCCCTGCGGGGGGGGGGTACTCCCCACCACCCGCGGAAAGGGGGGCCGGCCCGAGCGCGCCGCGCAACGTGTACAACAACAACCGCCAGAAGGTGAACATCCAGGAGAGGGTGATCATCGGGGAGAGGACAATCGTCCACCAGCAAATCAATTACAAGCTGGACATCTACAACATCAGCTACGAGAAATACCCACTTCCGTGGAGACTACCGGCAAGATGCCGAGAAAATCCCCGCATAGAGAAATACGAACAGATGCAACTGTCAAGAGACCGGGCTACCTCATCCGCCGGCACGGGCTACAACCACCTCACCGCCATCATGACCATCGCTACGACCGCCTTCATGATTGCGTCCTCTACAGGACGAGATAAGCTGCGCAACGTGCAGCGTGAGGAAGAGCTGCGTAACATGCAGCCCGATGAAGAGCTGCGTAACATGCAGTCGAAGTACGACACCAAGCACGCCACTAGGAAAGACCCGACCGAGCAGCCCGAAAGAGTTACTAAGTACGTCGTCGTGGAGGTGTCAGTGGACAACGGCCGCGCCGCCTACGACGAGTACGACTACGGCTGCGCCCCCTACGACGAGTACTACTACGCCAGTGTGTTCGATAACGACCTGTGCTCCTGCGACCCCCAGGGTTACGACGGACCGCAGGGCTACGACAACCGCCAGGACTACAGGGAGACCCAGAACGTAGAACACTACGACTTCGCAGCCGACGGCTCCGAGTCGGACCCCTGGGACCACGAAGAGAGCGTGCCCCCTGAACTGCTACAGCCACCAGAAGGGCTTCCAGGGCCACCAGACGACCTCCGGGGACCACAAGCTGAACTACGAGGACCACACGCACTGCTACGAGAGCCGCCTGAAGAGCTTCAGGTCCCACGTGCCGAGCTACGAGACCCGCCAGCAGAGCCACGAGAGCCACAAGCTGAGCTACGAGGACCGCGAGCTGAGCTACGAGAAGCAGGGCTACGAGAGCCACCAGCTGAACCACGAGAGCTACAAGCTGTGCTACGAGGACCACAAGCTGAGCTGCGAGAGCCACAACCAGAGCTATAATAATCACAACCAGAAGTACTACGGGACCCACCTGCCGCGCTGCGAGAGCCACCTGCCGAGCCACGAGAGCCACAAGCTGAGCAATGAGGACCCCAAGCTGAGCCACGAAAGCCACGAGCAAGATCACAAGAACTACCAGCTGAACCACGAGGACCGCCTGCTGAACTACCGGAGGCACCAGCTGTGGCACGAGGACCACAGGCACAGCCACGAGGGTTACGAGGGCCACCTGCTGAGCTTCCACAACCAGAGCTGCGCGGACCACAGGAAGACCTACATGACCCTCCTGCAGAGCGACTCGGGCGACGAGCTGAACGGCAAGGACCAGAACCAGGACTCCGAGAACCACCAGTTGAACTACGAGGGCCACAGACAGAGCTACGAGGGCTACAAGAAGAGATACGCGGGCTACAAGCAGAACTGCGAAAGCCTCCCGCAGAGCTACCAGGGCGACGAGCTGAACTTCAAGGACCACCTGCCGAGCAAGGACAGTCACCAGCTGAGCTACGGGGACCACGTGATGAGCTACTCGGACGACGCGCTGAGCTACCAGGGCCACAGGCAGAGCTTCGAGCACGACAGGCAGGGCTCCGAGGACCGCCAGCTACACTACGAGAGCTACGAGTGCCACCGTCTGACGTACCAGGGCCACAACCAGAGCTACGCGGACTACAGGGACAACTACAAGAGCCTCCTGCAGAAATGCTAGGGCGACGAGCCGAACTGCAAGGCCCAGAAGCAGAACTACGAGAGCCTCCAGCTCAGCTACAAGGGCCACCTGCGGAGCTACGGGGACCACAGGCACAGCTACGAGGGTTACCTGCTGAGCTTTCAGCGCCATATCCAAAGCTATGCAGACCACGGGAAAACTTACCAGAGTGTCCTGCGGAGACCCTGGGGCGACGAGCTGATTTGCAAGGACCTCAAGCAGACTTCGGAGACCCACCAGCTGAACTACGAGGGCTTCAGCTGGAGCTACGAGGGCTACAACTTGAGCTACGCGGACCACGAGCAGAACTACAAGAGCCTCCCGTAGAGCTACCACGGCGACGAGCTGTGCCACCTGCTAAGCAAGGACAGCCACCAGCTCAACTTCGAGGGCCACAGGCACAGCTCCGAGGGCCCCAAGCAGGGCCACGAGGACCTCCAGCTGAGCTTCGACCTGGCGTGGCCGCGGCCGTGCGCCTCGTCGGCATCAAAGCTCGCCCGCTATCCAACGGGCGGGAGGGGCCACTCGGGCCGTATGATTAAGCAAGCAGGCTCGGAGTACATCCGGGTTCGGACAACCTGCCTGGAGCCTGCAGGTCTAATGATCGAACGGACGCTCGGGCTTGCGTTCCAGCAGGCGGTTCACAAGTACAGCTACCATGACCTGGGGCACATCGACATGGCCTTCCAAAAAATACACGACCTGGCAACCGCTGAAGGGCAGCCAGGCGTAGCCGCCTACTTCGAGTTTATCCTCGGCGTCGAGGCGGCCTTCGATATGGCCTACAACCAGATGGTGCCATAAAACACTAGGCCTGCCTGATGCCGGATAAGATTACGAATTGCAACGCTACGGACACGGTATACAAGTACATCGTTACACACAAAATACTACGTCCACTTCAACTTAGTGCTGTACTGCCGCATCCCTCCCCTGCCTCTTGGGCCTCCAACGATATCAGGATCAATGTTGGTTTTCCTCCTCCTCCCCCCTCCGGAAAGGGTCCGAGCTCCGGCGAGGGTTCGGCGGCTCCGCGAGCTGCGTGCGGGCCCGCGGAGTCAAGGGAACGCTCGATGGCGCTCCGCAGCACAAGGGGAAGCAGGAAGAGGCAGAACACCCATGTGCCCCGCCCGCTTGCAGCCCTGAAGCGGCACGGCAGATGGATCTGCCCCTCCAGAAGATCACGAGCGGCGAGCATCCGTACCCGCGGCCTCTCGGTCTGGGTTCTGGGGCGCGATCCCGCGGATACGCGGTCGCACGGATACGTCCCGCGCGGGGCATCCGCGAAGAAACGCCCCGTATCCGCGGGGTGCCGGGCCCGCGAGGCCGCGGATACGGACTTGTCTGCCAGACGAACGAGCGAACTGCCAGACGCCAGAGCGCGTGGGCAAAAGACAATGCCAGCCTGATCTCTCCGCTTTGCGGGAGCGACTGCACGTCAGTCAGACAGACAGACAGACAGACAGACAGACAGACAGAAAAGAAGCGCAGACCGGCCTCCGCCAATTCTGCTGTATCAGCCGGGCGGACCACGACAGCTCCGCCTCGTAATTCCGGAGATTCTTGGTCGCGGTTCTGAAGACGCCCATGGGCAGCGCCGACAACGGGCCCGCGGTCTGCCCGGCGGTCTGCTCCTCCTCGACGCCGCTGGGGTCAGGCGCGCTGCCCGTGGCAGTCTGGCCAGAGGGACGCATCGCCAAGGGAAAACATGCGGAGAACCCGTACCTCCGAAGATGTGCGCTTTTCAATCCCGACGCGCCTTTCCTCGATTGCGGGCGCGAGGGCCCGTCCTGGGGCCCTCGGGCCATCGAAAGCAAGTCTGGGGCGAAGAAGTACCCCTGGGGCAGTGCCAGGAATTCTGGGGCCGCGGATCGCGCAAAATCATACCCGTGGGCGCCCAGGAACACGAGGAGACCCCGTCCGCCTTGCCGGGAACGCGGCCGCTCGGCGCAGGGATGCAGGCCCGGTGGCTCGTCTGGCAGCCGCAGCCTCTGGCAATCGAAACAGGCTAGTACTCTTCTGCTCCGTGCCGTGGGCGACGTGCGCGCGAGACCGCGCGCGAGTACCGATGGACCTTCCTCCACTTTTCCGAAGTAGCTAAGCTCTGCACACACCCACGCCGTATAAGAAGGACGCACGATAAGGATGCAAGGGCCATGGGAGGCCATGTCGACAGTTTGCGGGCGGGGCGCGGCCAGGGATGGGCCGCAGAAGAAGGATCCAGGGGTAACCTTGGAAGATCGTTCGTCCTTCCTATGCGGCTTGACTGCAAATGGTCTTCACTGCTTCTGTGAAACGGGACCGGTGGCCATGCAGAACCAGCGCCTGGATTCCACCAATCTAGGAGAACTGGGACGCCCGAGGCCTCGATCAGTTTCAGTCTGGGGCTGCCTGTCCCCCCTCTCGGTTCCCCCCCGCGCGGCTTCCCCGCAGATCCTCAACGCTGCTTGCGTCGCTTCGCCATTGCTCTGCATTGTTCTGCAATGCATTGCGTTGCGTTCCTCTGCATTGCCTTGCACTAATAAATTGCACTACTTTGCGTGACGTTGCCTAGCGATGCTTTTCATCTCAATGGGTTTCATTGCCCTTCTTCGCTGTGTCGTGTGCCTTACTTTTGCATTGCTGTGTGCTGCGCTGCTTTGGTTTCGCGCTTCTTTCCGCTACTTAGTAATACGATGCTTTACATCAGGTGTTCTTGGACTTTGCTCTTGATGTGCATCGCATTGCCGTGCGTGGCGGTGCATTTGCAACGCGCTGCGTTGCAGCGAAAAGCGCCGAAGGAAAGCAAGCCACTGGTCACTTCGGTTCAACCTTATATGGAACGCAACGAGTCAATACACTTCACAACACGTAAACCAACGTAGCCATCCAAAAGGACGCGATGCATTTGCAATGCTTCACGTTGCGCGGCAACGCAGGGCGTTGCGCGACAATATTCTTCAAATCAGATCAACGCAGTGCCGCAACGTGTTCCACCATGCTTCCTCTTTAAGCCTGGCTCGACCTCACCCGAATTTTCAACTCGTCGTCAACATTGCATAAGAGTTTTTCTCCGACTTCCCTTTCATCCTGCTTCCAGTCAAAGGACTACCTCTAAATCAAGGTCGGGGCATGCTCATGACCAGATCGACTCCTGCTGCTCACCAGCGGGCGGCAAGCCGCTGTGCCCCGCTGCAACATCCAAATGGTATCCCGACCGTGCGCAGATGAAGCTTCACTTCTCCCGAGCGATGTTTCGATGCTGGCCCGATGGTGCCCCGATGGATTTACGTTTGTGCCCCGATCATTTACAGGTTGGTTCCATATGATATCCCCATTGCGTACATATTGATTTTCGACGGTGCCCCGACCGCCCCGACCGAGTCCCTTCAGACCCCTGGGCGTCGCTTGTTTGGCGGTTGCGCTCTTCCTACGTAGCCCCTTCTTCTCCTTCGGGGAGGGGCTTATCCCTCTCCGTAACCAAAGACGACTGAAGATCGCCAAATGCCCTCCAAGCCGATCAAGAACCCCTCCGACGGGCCGCAATACTCCCCGATACGCCCAGAAGATCCTCAGCAAGCTCCATAAGCAAGCCATCGGGACACCATCAGAAGAGCCATCAACGAGACATCCAGAGACCGTCGAGATACCATCAACGAATTATCGGGGCACCATCGAGGACACATCGGACCCTCATCGGGGCACCATCAGCAAGCAACCAGGGCACCGTAGACATGTCATCGGGATACCAAGCCTACCCGCGGCGATGAGGCTTCCCCTGGGAGGAAATGTCAACCTCTTCCCCCCCCACCCCCAGCAATCTCGACACAATGGACGGAGGAGCCAAACAGGTACCAATACCGCTACTCCCAGGACCTTTCCTGGGGCGAAGCTTCGAGGCGAGTCCTGTCGTGGCGGCGAGGGCCTCCCAGAAGGCCCGAGCGGGCCAAACCGAGGCCAGGGCAGCGGTATCAGTACATCCTCCTCCTCAGAGTGGAGCTTCCGCGGACTTCCGATCCGATCCGACACTCTCCCCTGGACCCCCGCGCAAGTCCTGGGCCGTGGGCGCGGCTCCCCCGCGCGGCGGCGCCGAGCTCGCCGGCGAGCTCCGCCTCCCCGGGCGCCGAGGAGGGGAGGCCCGTCGCCGCCTCCATCCGTCGAAGCAGTGCCCCAGGAGGAGCACTCAGCTTGCAGCATAATGCGCCAGGAGGTGGAAGAGGAGGAGGAGGACCAGTGTAAATCCACGACTCATCAAGGATATTGAAACACACCCTCCCTCCAAGATCCCTCTTCACAAGCCCCTGCAAGGGGCCTTTTCTACTGGAGGAATGGCCCCGTTGGCGGACCGCCGTGTGAGCATCTTGAAGCGTACCAAGACATCACTCTACGGACTTCAACGCCACGAGTTAGCCTTCCTGTTATGTCTTGGCGATCCTGAATCGTGCCTGAACGCCGTTGCTGGGACTTCAACACCGCGAATCAACGTAACTGTTCCGCCCTGACAATCCTGAATCGTTCCGAGACGCCGTTTCTGGTAATTTAAGTAATCATGAGAGCTCTTGCAAATGTTCAAAACGAATGCGCGCGGCGCTGAAACGAGCGCCACATTTTGGAAAGGAGCCGCCTTCAATCCGTGAAGCTCTTGCAACTTTCTAGAACGAATGTGCGCGGCGCTGAGGCGAGAACCACATTTTGAAAACGAGCCGCCCTCGATCCGTGAAGCTCTTGCAATGGTTCAAAACGTATGTGCGCGGCGCGGAGGCGAGAACCACAGGTTGAAAACGAAGCGCCCTCAATCCGTGAAGCTCTTGCAATTTGACACGAATGCGCGCGGCGCGAAAGCGAGAACCACATGTTGAAAACGAAGCGCCCTCAACCCGTGAAACTACTACATTTTTCGTTTACGAATGCGCGCGGCGCGAAAGCGAGAACCACATGTTGAAACTGAAGCGCCCTCAAACCGTGAAGCTCTTGCATTTTTTGTAGACGAATGCGCGCGGCGCGAAAGCAAGAACCACATGTTGAAAACGAACCGCCCTCAACCAGTGAAACTCTTACATTTTTTGTAAACGAGTGCGCGCGGCGCGAAGGCGAGAACCACATGTTGAAAACGAACCGTTCTTAATCCGAAAAGCTCTTGCATTTTTGTAAACGAATGCGCTCTTCGCTAAGGCGAGAACCACATGTTGAAAACGAACCGCCCTCGATCCGTGAAGCTTTTGCAAATTTCTATAAAGCGTGTGCGCGGCGCTAAGGCGAGAACCACATTTTGAAAACCACCCGCCCTGGATCGGTGAAGCTGTTGTCAGTTTTAAGCATCAGGGTCATTAGTGGTGCGGAAGCTTCAAGCGAAACTCCAGGCCCACCCTTTCGACCGGCCTTGGGGGGGCGACAAGGAGGCGCTATCTATAAGGAAAAGGATTGAAGGAATGGATGAGGAGGGGGAGAAGGAGGAGGAGGAGGAGGAGGAGGAGGAGGAGGAGGAGGAGGAGGAAAATACGGGGGAAGAGAAGGAGGAGGAGAAGGAGGAGGAGGAGGAGGGGGAGGAAGAGGCAGCGGAGCATGCACAGGCATAATTATGCATATATATATATATATATGTATGTATAAATATAGATTCCCGAGGAGTGCTTGCACTCAGTGGTTCTGACTCCTTTTCTTAATCCTTTTTCTAGAGAGCTGGGGTGGTGTGGCGGTCTGGCGGCTATGTTGTCGCCGTCGCCGCCCCGTCGCCGCCCGTCGTTTGGGCTGGTGTGGCGGTCTGGCGGCAGTGTTGTCGCCGTCGCCGCCCCGTCGCCGTGTCGTCGCCGCCCACACATAATTCACCTGACATTGATTGCACAACATATATTGCGCACCACATAGATTGCACCACACATATTGCATCACACTTACTGCGTTACATAGGATGCACAACATAGACTGCACCACGTTTGTTGCACAACGTCTATCGCACCACATCGATTGCACCACGTCGACTGATCTACGTGGATTGCACAACATATCGTGCACCACGCATATTCCTCACCGTACACGTCGAATGCACTACACTTGTTGCACAATGCAGGCTTCACCACCTAGGTTGTACAACACAGATTGCACGTCATCGATTGCACCACAAATTTTGGACCACGTCATTTAGTTTCACATCTAGTGCACCACGTACACTACTCAACATATATGACACCACGTAGATTGCATCACAGATATTGCAGCACGTGGGTTGCACAACATAGAATTCAATCCGTAGATTGCAACACACAGATTGCACAACATCAATTCACCGGTTTAGTTTTCTATTCCCCCCCAGATTCAACCCTCACGCGCCTCTTACTTTTTTAATAGGACTCTGCACAATCGACCCTCCTAAATATGAACTATCCCGGGATGTCCCTTATCGACCCCCCCCCACCGTCTGCAAAGTATACTGCGCGCGCACTCTTTTATCAAACGCCACCAGGTTGCACATATCCTTTGCAACATATGAAACGAAGTGCACACGCGCGCGTTGTCGCGCGCGCGTCGCAATGTTTAAAGCACCTCAAGTTTCGTAGGGGCTTCAAAACCGAATGATCCGAAAACGTTTGAAAAACCTGGTCTCGCAACGGGGGTTTTCCCCCAAAGCCATGCGAAGGCGCTCTTGCGAGTTCATAAGAAAAGTATCAACTTCAACACTTTCATGAAATGCGACCAGACGTGCCTCTCGCGCGCGCGTGTCCGAATCGTTCGAACGCCCTTGCGCGTGTGTTGTCGCAAAAACCCCTTGCAAACATCGGGACGAAGTGCACACGCGCGCGTCGTCGCGCGCGCATGCCCGAATCTTAGCCAAAAAAAACATAGGTTTCGTAGTGATTTTCTAACCGGGAATCCCGAAAACACGTAAAACTCCAATGGTTTTGCAATATCAGTTTTCGGAACGATCCTGCGCTCGCGCTCGTGCGCATTCACAAGAAAACAATGAGTCTCCAGCATGCTCATCAATTGAAGCCAAGCGTGCCTCCGGCGCCGCATGTCGGAATTATTCGAACGCCCTTGCGCGCGTGCTGGGGGGAGGCGCGATCCTTCTCAAAAACTAACATGCGGGCCACTCGCGCGCGATGGCCGCGCGCGCATGTCGAACTCCTTCCAAAACCTTCATCACCGACGCGAGGACACCGTCATCGTCATCTGGGTGATCAGCATCGGCACCGTCAGTGGCCTTGCCATCGTCATCGTCATCATCACAAATACCATCGCTCCTATCATCATCGTGTCTACCGTTGACGACGTTGCAATCATACCGCGCCCGCCCAAGTCACCGACTCGCACTGAAGTGCCCGCTGGGAAGTGCCCAGCGATCATGCCACCGCGGCCGCGTCGGTCGCGCGAGGCTAGCTGGCCACTGTGCGCGCGAGCATGCGCGGGCTAGCGCGGCCTCAGAGATGCACCAACCAGCACCAATCACTCATGTTAATCGCAGCCGCATGGGCTTTGCAAGCCAAAAGTTGCGGGTGGGTGGGTGGGATGGTTGCGCGAGCAGTGGGGTTGACAACTGAATTGCACCACGTAGATTCCACCACATATATTGCTCCACATCGATTGCACCACATATATCGCTCCACATCGATAGCGCATCCATTGCTAGAAACACGCTGTTTTGGGATCACGCTGGCTAACATATATGTATATGTATACACATGTTCATATGTCTATGTAGACTTGCACTGGGAAGGCTCAAAGTCCTCAAATCTGGTCCCCCTCGTTTCGCGCCCTCCTTCAGGACCTGACGCCCCTGGGGTCCTGAACCCCCCCCTCCCGCGGGGTCCTGTGACCCTCATCCGCCCTTCCGCCGCCCCTCCGCGGGCCCCTAGTGGTTACAATACACATATTTCGGCATGCGGACTTCACTAACATGAGCGTCTGGGATTTCGTGAAGTGCAATGTTTGGCGCAGCGAATTTCGCGAAAAACGTCGGTTCGGATTTCCCAAGTGGTTATGATGCCGTATTTCGGATTTTAGACATGTCTTCCGACGTACTTCGGGAATTCTGAAACGGGCTGTCATGAAATCTCGGGAAGCTCATATATGTAAAATCTGAAATCTGAAACACAATGAATAGAGGCGCCAACGATTCGGAATAGGTGCAGATCGGACGCTCAGAATCCAACGAGTAGGTGATCTAGGCTCGAAATGGGATTCGCATGGGGTTTTCAAACACCCAATGAACAGATAGGTCAAGGGGGAAGGGTCCCAGGAGGAGGGGGCGGGATCGGGCTGGATAAGGTAGGGAAGGGAATGAGATGGGTTGGATGTGGGGGAATCAGAGATGGGGAGGGGCCAAGCTAGGCGCGCTCGCCCCGCATCTGACATCCCACCCCTCCCTCCCACCCCGTCCGCGCCGATTCGGCTCGGGCCGGGCCCCCGCGCGCGGCGGCCCCCGCCTCCTTTTCCTTATCATCCATCCTCCTTATCCTCCTCCTCCTCCTCCTCCTCCTCCCCCTCCTCCTCCTCTTCCTCCTCCTCTTCCTCCTCCTCCTCCCCCTCCCCCCCCTCTTCCTCGACTCCTCCTCCTCCACGCACTCCCCTATCCCCATCCCCCCCCCTTCCTCCTCCTCCTCCTCCTCCTCCTCCTCCTCCTCCTCCCCCTCCTCCTCCTCCTCCTCCTCCTCCTCCTCCTCACGACGACGACGACGACGACGACGACGGGGGCGGCGGCGGCGGCGGCGGCCGGGCGGCGGCGGCCGATGCCGCTGCGGCGCCCTGCGGGCTGCGCCAGCGCCCCGGAGGCCGAGGCCGGGAGAGACCGAGAGAGAGAGAGAGAGAGAGAGAGAGAGAGAGAGCGAGAGAGAGAGAGAGAGAGAGAGAGAGGGAACGAAAGAGGGGGGGAAGAAGGAGGACAAGGAGGACAAGGGCGGAAAAGGGGGAGAGGAGAAGTGGATGAGGAAAAGGAGGAGCAGGAGGAGCAGGGAGCAGGAGGATCAGGAGGTGAAGGTAAAGGCGCAGAAGGGAGCGGACACCGTCGTCGGACACCCCCCACAACCAATAAGGCCCACGACCGAGAGGGGCGGAGGAGGTGAGGAGGGCCCTCGATTCAAAATTCGGACCATCCTCCGCAGGCCCCCTCAAGTCTCGCGGA